AACCATTCACCACCCTGAGGCCTGGTTGGCAGCGTCACTGGCCTGCCAGGGTGTCCCTGGCGTGGACTGACAGGGCAGGCTTGCAGCTGAATGTGCTGGGCAGTACCACATAGCAGGGAGCGTTAGGATCAGCCAGCACATCTGAGTGGGGAACCTGAGCCGTAGCCATGCGTGCCTGCCTGCATTTGGTCTGTGTTGCCAGTGTCTGATAGCACGTGTAAGCATGTGTGGCCATCCTGGAAGGATTCAGAGCCAACCACAGGCCTGAAGGACTCTCTTGGTACCAGGGGTTTGCATTCGCTTTGCAATGAGCCTACATGCTCACTGGCTGCGCTCAAACAGAGAATTCTGGATGGCTGTGTCAGGGCTCTTCAGAGACGAGAAACATGAGCTGAAGTCCAAGACATAGACCTGCCAGTGGCCTTGCTTATTCATCTTCTCCTTTGGTGGCTGAGGGTGACAGCGGGTGACTTGCCAAGGCCTAGTTGTGAGCGTCCTCTCTTGCTCCCTGCAGAGTTGTCTCACAGCTCCTGGCTGAGCTTGATGGCCTTCATTCCACCAGAGAGGTATTTGTCATTGGAGCCACGAACAGGCCTGACCTCCTGGACCCCGCTCTGCTCCGGCCAGGCAGGTATGTCGCATCACACCCTGCCTCACGCCAGGGTAGCTCCCCAGAGTTCGTCAGGCAGTGATGAGCTGGCTTGTGTCCCCACCACGCTCCCTCCACAGAGGCTGTTCCTAAAGCTCCCCCAGCCCTGGCTTGTGGGGAAAATGGGAAGCCAAGAGGAAGCCAGTGCCTATGGCTGTAGCAGCAGCACAAGATACCGCTGCTTGTTATCTCCCACCACTCTGGTTGTTGCCCCAGCAGCAGAGCAGGGCGATAAGGGACCTGCCGTGGCACCAAACTGGCAGGAGGAATCAGTCCCCCAGGGCCTGTTCTGTAGAGCTGTCCCCCAGCCTGTCCTCATGCCTGTGGCTTGCCCATCCTGGGGCAGGACTTTGTAACTGCTGCTGTTGGACCTCAGGTCGTTCCTGTCAGCCCGTTTCTCCAGCCTGCCCCGGTCCCTCTGAAGAGCAGCTCTGCCCTCCAGCACATCGACTGCTTCCCCCTCTGGCTTTCTATCATCCATGAACTTGGCAGCAAAAGGAGCTGCCCCAGGGCCACCCTTCAGTTTCCAGTGCACAGGGCTGAGCACCAGTGGCCAGTTTGTCTTGGCCTGTTCTCAGCTGTCTCTTCTCTCTGCTGGCAGGTTTGACAAGCTGGTCTATGTGGGCGTAAATGAAGACCGGGAGTCGCAGCTGCAGGTGTTGAGCGCCGTCACCAGGAAGTGAGTGACCCTGTGCTGTTGCAGCAGCCTTCCACCACTCTCCAATGGGTTGCAGCTTTCCTGGGGTTGATGCGTAGTGTGCTCCAGCTTGGCTTCATGTCTGAGCCCTGGGGAGCACCTGAGTCACTGACCCACAGCCAGCAGAACTGGAGCTGGTTTTCCTACAAGATGGGAGCAGCTCGGCTGGCTGACCAAGTGGAAGGGTTGGGAGAGTTCTCCAGTCACTGTGCCCACATGCTCTTCTTGAGGAGCTCAGCCAGATCCTAACAGTGTGATGGGACTGCAGCGCACCAACATGGCAGGAAGCTCCCATTTGCTTCCTGCAAGAGTTCCCCTAGCACATCTCCTGCTGATTCCAGGTCCAAGGGTGAAGGCAAGCTCTGTTTGTCTCACTGCCTGTCCTCCTGCGATGCTGAAGGCTGTTCAGCCTGTGCTCTGTGTGTCTTTCCAAATACTGGTTGTGTGCAATCACCGAGCAGTGGGGTTTGGGCTTCCCCAGCTGCTCTGAGCGCCTGAAAGCGTCTCTGGAGGGAGAAAAGCAAGCCCTGTAATTCAGGTGCAGAGGTACCACCCACCACAGCTGGGCGAGCAGCTGCGAATCTGCCTCTGCAGGGACTTTCTGTCATGGTGAGCTGTGGTCGATGCTGCCCTTGACGATAAGCTAGCAGGAGAGGTGAGAGCGTGGGCTGGCTGCGAGCATCTTTTCACACCATGTGGCTTGGCAGTCATGCCCTCCAGGACTGTGCTGCTGTTCATGCTGAAGGAGGCTCACTGTCTGCAGTGTGGCTCTGATGGGATGGTTTGGTGTTAGTGGTTTGTGCTGTCTGTAATTAAACTTGTTCTTATCCAGCCCTGGCTGTAGGCTGTTCCCAGGCATGTGGAGCACTTCATTTCTTTGAGTGAGAACTGAAAGTTGCCTTTGATCCTACTTAGCAGGAGAGAGGATCTTGCTGCGGGGATGTTTCAAAGAAAGAGAAGTGACTGCATTGAAAAAAACAAACCAACCAACCCCTTTCTGATTTTTTTTTTTTGGAGTATGCAGGGCACAGTCCAGAATTGGCTAAACATGGGGCCTCCGATCCCTCCTGCCCAGTCACACTGGCTGCTGCGTCTCTCCTGGTCTGTGTTTTATGTGGCTTTTACACCTGCAGTTTTCTCACTTGGCAGGTTTAAACTGGATCCTTCCGTGAATCTCACCACCATCCTAGAAAAATGCCCAGCTCAGCTGACAGGAGCAGACATCTACGCCCTGTGCTCGGACGCCATGATGTGTGCTGTCAAACGCAAGGTGGAATGGATCGAGGAAGGTAGGAGCCCGGCCCCTACCTGTCCCACGTGTTGGGACGGCCCAGCACAGGGGCAGAGAGGAGAGTTACCACTACTGGTTTTGAGGCTCTGTGAGATGAGACTCGACAGCTTTGGGACCATGTCTGAATGCTAGGCTCTGGGTTACTGGCAGGCAGGCAGTTTCTGCAGGTGTGATCATCTTCACCTCCAATGCTTGGCCCCAGGGGGAAGGAGGGAGACACAGGTTTTCCTTCCAGTCTCTGGTGGCTGGAGAGGGGGCTGTTGGATCTCGCCAGCCGCCCCTGTGCTTGGCTCTCAGCCTTTTCCTGTTCTCTCTCTCACGCAGGGCTGGATACCGAGAGCTCTGCTCTGATCCTGACCATGGAAGACTTCCTGCAGGCTGCCGCGAGGTTGCAGCCATCAGTCTCCGAGCAGGAGCTGCTGAGGTACAGACTCATCCAGCAGAAGTTTGCTGCCTGCTAATGCTCAGCAGAGCTGGGACTGGAGGAGTGATGGGGACGGTGTGTTAAGGGGTACGAGAGAACAGGCACAAACAGGCACCCACCTGCTCTTCTCTGATGTCTCCCGGGCCCCCCTCTTTCGAGCTTGGGTGGAAAAGTGGCTGTGCAGTTTCTTGAGCCAAAGCCTGATGGAAGCGCTGCTCTGCTCAGCCAAGCTGGTGGTGGGTTCTGTAATGGTCCCTCACATCTCGGAGAGCACTTTGTGGCTGCCGGGAGCATGCTGGGATGACTTCCCCACAGGGAGGAAGCCGAGTCTCATGGTTGTGGGCAATGTAGGAGTGTCTCCATGGGTGACAGAGCATTGGTGGGGGAGCAGGGCCCAAACTGCACCCCGTTTGGCCCCAAGAGCAGGGCTGGAGGCAGTTGCTCGTTGGGCTGTCAGCCTCCAGTGAGGGGTGCTGGCTGGAGGGCAGCAGGACCCAGGGCGCTGCTGCTGCAGCTGGCCTGGGCTTGACGTGGTCTCTCTGAATAAATACAGGTTTTTGGCACTAGGTATTCACTGCCTGGCCTCAGGTCTTTGCTTGCTGATGGTGTCTGTGGGCTCAGGAAGGTCCCTGCGAGCCCCTGGGTGGGCTGGGCGTTGCAGAGAAACCAGTGTCCTGCAGGCAGAGGCGGGGAGCACACCCACAAACAGGGCTGGGGGTCACTCTCATCCGGCAAAGGTTGCCAGAATGGCTGGAGCCCAGAGGAGATGAGGAGAGGCTGAGGGAGTGGTGCTTGCTCAGCTGGGAGCTGAGCTCCCTCTGCAGAGGGAGCCCAGTTCTTCCTGGAGGCGCTGGGTGACAGGACAAGAGGCAATGGGGGCAAGTGCCAGCAAGGGAAACTCCCACCAGATACTAGGAAAAACTTATCACAGGGAGAGGGAAGGCTCCAGCCTTGGAAATACTCAACCCTTGGCTGGAGCAGCCCAGAGCTACCCTGTTTCCACTAACCTGTGCTGAGCGCGAATTGGCCCATACCCCCCTGAAGTCCTGTCTCGCCTCCCTCTGCAGCCTCACAGCAGCTGCCGGCGTGATTGCGTGTGCCCCGCTTCCTGGCCTTTGCCAAGGATGCCAAATAAATCCCCCCTTGAGCTGCGTGTGGCAGCCAGCTGGCCGGCAGCTGCCTCTGCCTCTGCCAGGTCCCTGCAGCTGCTGGCGTGGCTCATGGGCAGCCCCACGTTAAGCCAAGGGCCCGTGTGCGCCCCAGCCCGTGAGGTCGTTGCTGCCAGGCTGCACCGAGACTGCTGGCAGTCGTGTCCCTGAGCCAAGCGTGGCTGTCGAGAACCAGCTCCCCACCGAGCTCCTTCTCGAAGGGCTGGTTCTCCAGCAGCTGCAGGCATTTCATGCGCGAAGACCTGGCCGACGCGTGCCTCGAGCCCTGTTGCTCTGGCACCTGAGCGTGTTCAGGCAGAGTTGTCCCTGACCGCAAGGCGCTGCTGGGATCTGGCCACCATCTCTTCCCCAGGGCGGGCAAGGAGGGAGCTGCAACCACTGCAGAAGCGCTGGTGGGGTGTGCAGAGCTTCCCCACCGTGGGAGCCCTGGCAGGGGGGTGGGCACCCCTGGATGGGGCTGATGGGGTGTCAAGAAAAGGGGTCAGCACCTGGTTGCGGGTGCAAGGGAGAAAAACCGGTTGCAGCATACCCCTGTGAGCGGTGCTGCGGTGGGCTCGGCAGCATCCACCCAGGAGCTGGCGCTCCCTTGGCTCCGCTTCAATGGGCGCCCCAAACCCCACACCGCAGGCATGCCTGGCACCTACAGCCGCGGGCTTGGGGGGTGAGGCTGTGCCTGCACCCACCCCACAGTCACATGCTTCCCTGGGAGTCCTGTGGCGGCTGTGGCCATCCCCCTCGCCCCGGACACACGGACACATGGACCACGGGCTCCAGTAGGTCTCATGAGCGCTCTTAATTAATGGGAGGGAACTGCCCGGTGCCTCTCAGCAATGTCCCCAGCCCCCTGCTTGTTCCCAGAGCCGCTCGCAGCTCTCGGCCACCACAGTCTCATCTCCATGGCCCCCTCAGGCTGTCTTCTTCACGACGTGGATGAAGTAGCAGGGGACGTGGGCCTGCCCCGGCGTGTAGGGCTGGAAGTCGCCCAGGACGCTGTGCTGGCACTTCCCCTGGAAAGCGCCTTTCAGCAGGGCTGTGAAGGCCTCCAGCCGGTGCGGGTAGTACGAGAGCCGAAACTTGCTGCAAAGAGGCAACGATGGTGAGGTGGGGGGGGACAGCGGGGCACGGTGCCAGCCCCCCTCCCGGTGCCGCCCCTGCGGCCCCGCTCACCTCAGCTCTGGGTCTGCCCCCGCCTCGGTGGGGGGGACCTGCACCGTGTAGTCCAGGGTGACCATGTGCGCCTTGTTGTTTACCAGCAGCACCGAGGTGGTGATGTCCTTGGTCAAGTCACTCTGGGGACCGCAGGAGGACGTCTGTGTCCTGCGGGGATGCAGTGGCCCCCAGCCTGGGCACAGCCCTGCTCCCTGCCCTGCCTGGCCCCCTCGGGGCCAGGGGGCTGGGGCAGAGGGGCGTGGGATGGGGCAGGGTCTGCCAGCCACCCACCTTGTAGTAGATGTTCTTGCCAGGCGGGGCGCAGCCTGTGGCCAGGATGTGGTCGTAGTTGCGGTGGTCGATGACCAGGACGCCCCCGGGCCGCACCATGCTGGCGATGTTCCTCAGGGCCAGCTTGTGGTCGCTCTGGTCCCCTGGGGAGGAAACCATGGCATCCCCAGGCACTGGCTGTACCCCATGGCACAGCCCATGGGGCCTCATCTCACCCATACACAGACACACACGCACACACCTGCCCCCCCCCCCCCCCCCCCCGAGTCTCAGCTTGGAAAACCCACAGCCCCACCCATGGTATGAGCTCAGGCACGTTCTCAGCCTCACTGGGGCAGAGCATGCCACGTGGGGAACCCACCACCCCGCTTGTGGCACAAGTCTGGGTGTGTCTCCAGCCTTGCCAGAGACGTGACATCGATGCACACAGCTCCACCGCCACCACGGGACCCAATGGCCCCACTCATGCCACGAACTGGGGCACGTTCTCAGCCTCCCTGGGGACATGCCATGACACAGCAACTCCACCATGTGTAATCCACTGCCCCACTTACGGCATGAGTTAGGGCGTGTTCTCAGCCCGCTGGGAGACGCTGTGCATGGGTAACCCCCCCCCCGCAACTCACCTTTGAAGTCAGGCAGGTGCGCGAAGGAGTTGCCCAGGCAGATGACTGCGTCAAACCCGTCCCCTGGCTTCTCCAGGTCCTTCTCCAGCGTGAGCCAGTTGGCCTCCTCGATGACTGCAGCGCGGGGGAGCGGGTGAGGGCAGGGACACCCCCACCTACCCAGCAGCCTCCCCTGCATGCCAGACCTCCACCCCAGCGTCGCCCAGCCCTTCCCCGGCCCCTGCAGGTGCTGGGTCCGGCCTGGGGTCGGCAGGCGGGCGAGGGCCACGGCCGGGGCTTGCCGAGCAGCCGGCGCCGGCAG